GTAACTTTTTATTATAATCACACTTTTTATTTTTGGTCCCAAAGGGTGTGACTATAAAGGGGGACGACTGTATATGTAATGCGACTAACAATACAATAGCCGATAATAATACACGCGTAAATATTCTAAGTGCTGTTTGACGTCTTACACCATCCTTTTAATTGTGGAATTGAATGATAATAAGTTCAAATGTTAATTTTATGGGTTTCATAACGAATGCATAGCATATTTTGATATCGAATATGCCACCACTAGCCAAATTATAAATTGGTCAAGTGAATGTATAAGTGTAATTAACCACTCTCGGATATTGTTTTTGATTTTGCATATCTCGATATACGTTAGGAAATATAACATGTCCTGTTAATAAATAAATAATCTTGTTCATATATATAGAACTGTTTATATGTGTCCTCCATTTTCCAATAGCTTACCGTAAATCCAGCCATGATTAAACCAAAGCTCATTAGTACATTGTACCATCGGGAAGGGAGAAATTTGGTTTCCATGGGATCAATTAAACTACCAGGCTTTTCATGTTTCGCGAATCCATCGATTATCATAAAATTTACCAAACATGGCGCTAAATATACCAAGCAATGAAAAATATGAAAAATATCTTATGTTCAAGGTTAATGACGTCATGACCATCCATGCGATAATATCTGGGAAGGTCGCGTATAATGAATCTCCTACCAAGACAATAAGCGCTACAGCCAAAGTTAAAAGTTCAAGACAGAAAAATATCGAGATATAAATCCTTAATTTTTCTCCAAACGCAACAGCGCCTAACAAATGTAAATCGATTTGTTAATTTATTAATCCTTCGTCATAATCCAACCATTTTTAATTAATTAGCTATATAATTTACCACCATCAAAAAGTAAAAAGAAGTCGTAATTCCAAGAACCCAACCAGCGTATTTAAATCCAAGTGGGAATGTCAAAATTCAATGCTTATAAAAAAAAGTTTTTTTAAAATGAAAAAAAAAATATGTTCATTATTCATACATCGTTTCTTTTCGAATGATAGGAGTATGCTCAGAAATTTTCATTGGATATTTCTTATGATCTTCAACAGAATTTCTCCATGATTATCATACGTAAATGATGTTCCAATTAACTCTTCTCCGATTTGATTTGTACTAGCAGAATTTAACTTTGAACCATGAGAATCTTGTGTAATTTATTAAACAAACAACAAAACCCCATAATTTGTAGGGAAGCTAAGATGTAAAGATGATGTTGTGTTATAACTTTGAATTGAAGATGATCCTGGATTTTGAATCAGTCCTCACGTTCTATAATAATTAATTTGTCCAAACGTTTCCGCTTGTTCATAGTTGTTTCCTAAAAATGAAGCTGGAACAACATAATTATATGTTCTATAATAAAGAAATGTGAGGTTATGAAATCAAAAACTTGTTAAATTTAATCGAGTAATGTTTTACCTTGTGGCGAGACTATAATTTCTTGTCATGATTGTAATGCACCTGCTAGAGAAAATGCTACGTTTATCAAATTGTTTCCTGTTCTATTTTGTCTTTGACGTGATGGAATATTTATAGGTAGAGCATCAGGGTTGTTTTCTCCGCTTGCCATTTTTTTTTTGGTAAACTGATATTTAGGTTGCTTTTAAAAGAAATAAATGAATAAATAAAACAAATAAAAAATCATTTGCAAGCAATAATAATACGGTTTTATGAGTTTAAGACAATATATTTCAAATATAAACCGAAATTTATGCTAAGGAACTCATCGAACAACTCTAATATAAATGAAATCAGCGATTGTTTATTTTATTCTGTCAAATAATTTTTTTTAAAACCTTTTGTTATTGACCTAATTTGTTTAATTGTTATATTAAAGGATCTTTTCATTTGCCAATAGTGCCGCATTAGTTTTTAACTAATAAATGGCTAAAGAAGGATCAATGCACTGAAATCCCATGTAGGGGGGACAATTGACCATAAAAACATTAAGCGAAAGCGAAAAGCCGATCGCAAATACCCCAAATGAAATGGGTTTGAAAGGAATTCATGGAATTGTGATTTTTTGTAAAATTTCGGTTAGTGTAACATTGATTTTTTTTAAGGAATGTCCCAAAATAAGTAAATTTTTTGTCAAATTATTAAACTGGAATTTCTATAATTACTTTTACAAAGAATATGGTTTTTATTCTACCTTGCCAAAAAGGACAATATATCTAAATTTCACAATCTATATTCGGCCTTTTATTTTTAATACCACAAAAAGAAAGTTAGATCAAACCTATGTATAGCAATGAATCACTTACTAAAACAGATAAAGGAATAAATAATATTTAAAGCATATCATTATCGTAAATAAGATTTACAAGTGCACAATTTTATCATTTACAGGTAATTGGGGTCAATGCTCATGCGACGTCTGAACCTGCGCCCCAAATTATAAAACTGCCATGCCCCCAATATCTTTTGTTAAGCACAAGCATATGCAGAAAAAATACTTTGTTTTTTTAGACATAAAAGATTCAGAAAAACTTTGTCAGGTGTTTTAATTTGCCTTTGCTGCGTACATTTTTTAAAATTTTATATTGAACCAATAAATAGATTGAATTTATTAAAATTTAATTGTTAATTGTTTCAATAAAGAAATGCTAATTAATCTATCGAACCTACAAAGGAATATTATTGGCAATACTACAATTGTATTTGTTATGCCTGCATAATTAAATCGACTCTATATCGAAGAGATATTATATATATGCACCTTATATAAAGTTTCGTACGACAAATGTTAGCACAAAAGCTAAAATGTGCCCCCCAAAAAAGAATTGTAATATCTTAAATATTGTTATAAAGAGCAATGATAACCTTTGAAATTGATATTTATTTATGAAAGCAGTTGCGTAATTAAATCGTTATTATTGGAATTGCGAACAAATTTTTTATTTCTTTATTTTTATTTTTATTTTTTTTAAAAAATGAAGTCTAAGTAATGTTTTCGGTAGATAAAATCAATATACAAAATGAAATTGCTACTTTTTGAATTTTTGTTTTTTTTTTCAATAAAAAAAAAATGAATGTCCTTTTTTTTAGCTGTCTATAGAATATTTTTTTTTTCTTAAAAAAAACCCAACTTCAACTCACTCCCCTAGACCCTAATGACCATTTTGAGTGGGTAAGAAAGACCAGATTGTACCCAAAGCACTCATAATACCACAAACAATGAGAATACAAATATTCAAAGCCTTTTCTTTAAAACTCATCCTCTTTCCAAACAATTTCAAATTGGCGGAACAAGGAAATAAAGCAGAGATGAAGAACGAGAAAAAACTTCCCAACACTCCCATAACCCTATCAAATTCGGGTACTTGTATTGCAATTAATAATACTAAAGTTGATAACATTATACGTGAAATCAATTTAATTGCAGTTCGACGTCCTCTACCACTATTGCACCATTCTTCTAATCGCGGAATTGAGTGATAATAAATTTCAAATGTTAAATTGATAGGATTCAAGATTAACGCATATTTCGCTATCGGATATACCGCTACTAGCCAAATCATAAATTGGTTAAGTAAGCGATTGTAGCCTTGTGTTGCCATGATGTTTTGTGTAATCTATTTCACGGGAAAAAGATATCATTAGTAAGTTGCGTCACATGCATAAATCTATGATTTTAAAGTTGCATAAAGCTCGATAAGTAGGTGCGCCTACCTCTTGCATGACAGTACGTCCAAACATTAGGTAACCGCATACGGCCATGAGGAAATACACGATGGTTGTTAGCATATAAGTGTAATTAACCATTTTTGGATATTGCTTTGGATTTTTCATGTCTCGATAAACGCTTGGAAATACGGCGTGTCCTGTTTAATGAATTATCACTTAATTTGCACAATAAATCGTTATACGTCAGAGTTTCATTCGATATCGATATCTTACCTGTGAATCCAGCCATGATCAATCCAAAGCTCATAGGCACGTTGTACCACTGGAAAGGGAAGATGTCGGTTTCCATGGGATCAATCAAACTACCAGGCTTTTCATGTTTCGCGAATCCATCGATTATCATAACATTTACCAAACATATGGCGCTTAATATACCGAGTAATGAGAAATATGAAAGATATCTTATAGCAATCAAGGTTAATGGAGTCATGACCATCCATGCGATTACTTTTAGTAGGATTAAGGACGCATCTGGGAAAATTGCGTGTAAAGAGTCTCCAACCAAGATAATGAGCGCCACCGCCGAAGCTATAAGTTCAAGACAGAATAACACCGAGATATAAATCCTTGTTTTTTCACCAAATGCAATCGCACCTAAAAAAAAAAAAAGGCAATCCGTTTGTTAATTCACGCGTAAAAAGGTTATCACGTGACAAAGATAATTACCGATATCGGCGTAAGTGTATAATCCCTCGTCATAATCCAAACATTTTTTAATAACCTTGGCCGTATAGTTAGTTATCATCAAACATGAAAAGAAAATAGCGATTCCAAGAGCCCAACCAGCATATCTAAATCCAAGCGGTAATGTTAAAATTCCAATACCTGTAAAAAATGGGTTAAAATTGGTTCGTATAATCTCGTAGAACGCGGAATGGCAGATCAGTGGTAGATCAACAATTACCAATTAAAACGTTACAAGAATTGAAGATTGATTGTCGAAAATTTGACCCAACTCGATCAGGAATTTCAACTGTAGACAATGGTACCGAAACGTATGAACTCCTAATAAGGTTTTGCGATTTATAAAAAAAAAAATTTTTTTTCATTAAGAACACATGACAAAACCGAATATATTTAGTCATTATTAATTAAATGACGAAAGATGAAATATTAGCCATGACGAAACTATTTGTCATGCCCGAAATATTTAGTAATTACGAAAGAATTTAGTAATTGCCCTACTTTGAATCTGTTTGAACCATTGGGACAGAAATTTTCATAGGTCGTTTCTTATAAGCTTCCGCAGAATTTCTCCACATAGAACCATGACTATTGTTGATAAATGAGGTCCCTAAGAAATCTCCTTCTTCCGTTATACTTCCGCTAACTGAATCTAGATTTGGATAGCGATTAATTTGTGCCATTGATCCATAATTTTGGGGAAGATTATGAGGTGAAAGGAATGTCGTATTCGCCGTGATATAACTTTGATTTGAAGAAAGGATTGATCCCGGATTTTGATTAAATCTTCCCGGAGTATACGGAGTATAATAAGAATTCTCATGGTTGTCTCCTACGAAAGAAGCTGGCACGGCGATATTGTTGGTCATGTATGTACTAACGTGAAAGAAAAAGCTTGTTACTAAGATCAAAACGCGTTAGATTACATCGAATGGCATTTTTAACGTTTATTACCTTGCGGTGAGACTGTAGTTTCCCGTCCATGATTGTAATGTACCAGCTAGAGAAGTGGCCATGTTTGTTAGATTATTGCCTGTTCCGCCTCGCCTTTGACGAAGTGATGGAATGTTTATGGGTGAAGCATCAGAATTGCTTCCTTCGCTTGACATTTTTGATTAGTGAAAAATTTGTATTTTGTTAAAAAGATTTATCTTCTCAAAGAAAAAGAAAAAAGATTTATTATTTGTTAGAGTTATAAGAAAATTTAGGGAGGATTTCGTTTTTTGTTTTTTTTTTTTGGCGAAAAACCGAATGGTGAGGTTTTTGAAAAATTTCGAATAGGTAGATATATCTAAAATTTTCTGTGGGTGATGACATATAATTAGATGCGACGTTTAAATCCCTATCACAAAGGATTTTCACATCACTTTTTTTCATGTATTAAAATAAACCGGACTATGAAATTAACAAGTTGATCCATCGTATTCATCGTATTGGTGGTTTTCCCAAGATAACTTTTAAGGTTTTTTTTGCTGTTGTCGTTTGTCGTTGTTTTAATTTAAGAATGTTATGATCTAATAAAATTTTTTTTTTTTATTATTATTATTTTTAATAATATACAAAACACAATGACTAATTTTAAAACAGATTTGTGCTATTCCCCTGCTTTATTTTTAAATAATTATAATAAAATACGCATGAAACGGTTTCAATAGGTTCAAATAGAGGAAAGGAACCAGACTATCCAAGATTGGATGAAGCGCCTCGCCTTTATTGTATTGCGTACCATTATTAATATTGATCATCGTGAAAAAAGTCCAATCTCTCTCTAAAGACTTATCATTATTATGATTTTATTCTTCAAATTTGGTGAATATTATTGTTCCGAATAAAAATTGATTTTTTTGAAGCTAAAAAAAAAAGGGTTCTTATTTAGAATAACAAATTTGGTTTCCAATTCGATTGTAACGTTTGATTTACATCAATGTTAGACTAAATAGGTTTTTTAAAACCGGTATTAGCCTGATTTGTATAGATTCACCTGCATTTTACAAGAGGAATCAAATTAGATAGGCGTTTGGATAAGTAAGAAAAAAATTTTTTGTATGGATATCGAAAAGAAATGAAGGATTACGCACATATGAGAGAATAAATGAATGTCCCCCATATGGGAGATAATTGACATTGAAACAATATTTACGTGAATTGCTAATCACAACAATTTTCATCAAAAGAGAAGATGATTTTTGGATATTGATA